AGGACGTTGCTTCACTGGCCCAAGTTGGCACCATCATTGCGCTCTTCCCGGGCGAGGCAGACCAGTCGCCAGCTTCTGGACGGCTGCTCACGGCGTAGCTGCTCATGCTGGGTGCTGGCTACACATGGTAGCCCATGGCAACCTACTGCAGCAGGGGCTGCAGCCTACGCCGTCACCGGTGACTCATGGCAGCCCAGCTCTAGGTCAAGCTGTTGTTCAACACCTTAGCTGTGGAGGGCAGTGTCACTGGCCCTCATGTGGGATCCGAACTGGGGCCCTCTGGCATCCCAAGCCAGCTCTTAACCAACGCGCCACTTGGCTGGCCCTCTAATACATTTTAACACAGTAAACGAACGATGTCTTGCAATACGAGTAGTTTGTTTCCAGAACGAATTATGCTTGCAAAGCAAGGTATTACTGTATTCTGTATTTGGATTTCACCCCCATCCACCTCCTTGGCTGGTGGCTGTGTGCAAATCACAGTCTGCACCATCACATTACAACAAGCCACATTGATCTTAAATGTATCCTTACTACACTTATAGAATCTTCCATGATGGGGCTCTTGCCTATTTTCTAGCCCCATCTCATCCTTCTACCCTTCCTCTCTATACCCACAAAGGCTTGATCTAAGCAACCTGAAGGAGCTTGGCTTCCAGCCTTAAGACTTTCATGATTCATCTGCCAGTGGGGCAGGCTGACTTTTAAGATGGCTTCCAATGATCCTCACTTCCTGGTATTCACAGCCTTGTGTGGTCCCCTACCCCTGAGGTAAACTGGACCTGTGACTTGTTTCTAATGAATGGAATAGAGCAAAAGTGAGGGAATATCAGTTCTAATATTAGACTGTAAATGATTATAACTTCTGTCTTACTTGCTCTTGCTGTCTCTCTTTTTCTTCACTCGGATGAAGCCAACTGACATGTAAGCTACTTACGGAGAGGCTCATATGGCAAGGAACTGAGGGAGGCCTTGGGTCAATAGGTTATGAGGAGCTGAGGGTTCAGTAAAACAGCCTCTAAGGAACTTAATCCTGTCAACAACCACCTGAGTCATGTTGGAAGCAGATCAAACCCAATTGAGCCTTTGGACCACTTCAGCCCTAGTTGACACTTTGTGTGAAACGTTTTGAGAGATGATGGATAAGTCACAGGATTCAGCTAAGCTTCATCCAGCTGCCTGACCCACAGAAACTATGAGATAATAAATGTTTTTGTTTTAAGCCACTGTATCTTGGGAGAATTTATTACACAGTAATAGATAGCAAGTACAGTCAGGAATATTCCCCTCCTCATGTGTTTTCAAGTCTCATATTTAAATGTCACTTCCTCAGGGATGACTTTCTCTTCCCCTGAGAATCGCCTACACACCAGCAAGTCTCTGGTTATACACTCTCATAGCCTTCTCCTCTTTTTTGCTGCACTCATCACCACTACAATAGTTCATTATCTGAATATTTGTTTCCTGTCTGTCTTCCCCCAAGACTTGTCAGTTCCAAGTCAGAGCTGGCTATATTTTTTCCACACCAAATTCCCAGCACCAAACATGGTGCAGAGTACAGAGTGGGGAAATAGTAGTTGTAGAATGAAAAAAATAAATAAATAAACAAATGAAGGAATTACTAAATGAAGTAGACCACAGCCTTGCAATTCAGAAAGGAGGCAGAGAAAGCCCAGTACCCTAGTAAAGATAGTTATAAAGTTTCACAATTCTCGGGCTATATATATATATTTCAAATACCAAAAACAACAAAAACAAAAAAGCAAAAATGAAACCACATCAGCATGTTCTAGATAAAAATTTGTTATGACAGAGTGTATTATAACCAAATTCTCTACATGAATAAAAAATCCAGTAAGGGTTAGCTCACAGTTCAGGATTTTGATAAAAACTTTGCAGTTTTAACAGGAGTAACAGGAACTGATCTAGATAAAAAAGGATCAGAGAGTGAAGACAGTGCAAATTTAGCAGAAGCTCCCCACATTACCAACAGGCTGGAGCTGGTGTTCCTTTGCTCTTGACATTATATCTGGGAAAGGCATCTAGTTTTTCCTGGGAAATGAATGATTTTTAGCTAAACGCTAAAAGAAGGATTTTGAAGTTGAGGATACCCTGTGGCCACAGAGAGGTACATTCAGTCTAGTTGTTTTAATTGGCTAAATTCCTACAGGGCTTTTAAAATGATAATGTTATATAATCGGCAGCTCTGTATTCCACCTAGTGAACTGGTTGCATTGGTGATTCCTAATCTTCACTGCCCACCAAATAACATCCAACTCACTCCCTAGCTGGACATTCGGCTGAACCTTCCAGCCTGTTTTCTACCCCACCTTCCCCTTCACATACACCACACTCTTGCCATTCCTCTGTCACAGGGCACACTTTTTCACCTCTGACTGGAAGTCCCCCTTAGTGCCACCCAGTCCTTGCAATTGCAAATTCAAATCAGAACACTCCTGGTCCCCAAGGGAAGAGACTGCTTTGAGGCTCTGTCCTCTCAGGTCACTCGGTGTTTACCTCTTTTATGGCCTCTACCATATTCAATAATGTATTGTGGGCAGGTATGTATGTTACCTATCTTCTCTACTACCCACACCTGGAGGGTAGGGTCTTTGTCTTGATAATCATTTTCCCCTACATAACCCAGCACAAGGCTTTGGATGGAGCAGGGGCTTAATATGCATTTGTTGTTAAATGAATAAATCAAAGAATGAAAAAAACATATATGCTAAGAGGCTTTTAAATGAATCAGATATGCTTTATATCTTAATGCCAATAATAATATAGCTATAGAAAGCGATTTAATGTTAAAACAGTTTAATTTGCCTTTTTATGAAATATTGTTTTCAAACATACCAAAGATACCCTTTAAAGTAAAAAGGAACTCAGAATTGAATAAACAGAACGTTTCTTCACTAGTCCACTAGAATATTGGTTAAATGTCCTATATGTTATTCTATAAATAGTTACACAGAAGCCAAGGAAATAAATGACAAAGCAAACTATTAAATATAGGAAAATGATCTTTTTGCGAGCTTTCTAGAATTCTTTAATAGTCTATTGTTGAACTTTTAACAAAGTAATTTGAACAATTTAAAAGATAACAAATACTAGTTCTATATAAAGTGATTAAGTCAAAGTAGTTTACTTCAAATACAAGGACTTAATTACAGAAACGGAATGTACCAGATTGTTTAGCGAATGCTGTTTGAGGGGATAGACAGTGTTTTCATGACTAAGTCCAGTGTACTTTGAATCCTCATGTTATTTCTTTCTATCAGGGAAATCTTTCTCACAGACAATTTCATGTTTTCTTCTGGTTCAATGGGGAGAAGGGTATGAGGGTTGAACAGATATCGAGGCTCCCCCAAGATGCCAACTCTGTGAAAAGAATTATTGGTATAGCTGAAGCAGTGAGGCCAAAGACTAAGGCGTATGGTTGTGGTTGGGGCTGTTGTTATCTTTGTGTGCGTCTGTATACTAAAAGACTCACACACACACCACCCTGCATTTTTTTTTTTAAGCATTCCTGTTTCCCTGAACCACCACTGCGGTCTTAAAATGGGTAAAAAACTCAGCCTACAGCCAGATTTTATACTGACCCTTCCCACATTTCCCAAAGATGATGATTCTAATGGAAAAACAGCCTTATAAAGTCTGCTACTCACTCGCCCAAATTAGAACTATTTGAATTCTAGCATAACTTTTTAGCAATTTTTTCTAGTCCAGATGGGTATACCAGGAGCTGCTCTGCAAAGGAAAGAGAGAGAAGGGCAGGGGTGGCTAGGAACCGTTGTTTAGCTTTCTGGCAGAAGCTCAGGGTCGGAGCCCCTGTCCCTCCCAGGCCCAACCCAGGAAGCCACATTCAGGCGCTCTTTTCTCTCTCCTTGGGCGACTTACGTTGGCATAGGCACAGCATCCTGACTTCCCATGTCCTCATGCATCTTTGCTGGGATGTCTACTTGATGATACTTTTTCTCAAAGATACTCTGTGCTTTTTCTCTGAGAGATGGCAGCAGAGTAGACATTGCTGGAGAGCGCATGTTAATGGCTTTTTTAATCGCTGGGCGTTTTGCCATCATTCTCCTGTGGCGGAGGGAGGAGGAGATATTTAGGTCACATCATCCTATTTTCTAGATAATGTCCTTGAGCTTAGGAAAGTCAAAAGGTCATACCTGAATTGTACCAAAGTCATGCGGTTTTTTTCCCCACCCGATTCTTCATCCTCACGCTTCCTTCGAGGAATATTAAACATATTGGTACGAAAGAGCCTCCCTATTTCTTCCTCAATCTCTGTGAAGTATTGACGTCGGAAGACAATCCAAGCTACATATGCACAGAAAGTATAAAAGGACTACAATAGAAAACAAACAAGAGTCGCAGCCCACAGCTATGATATAAAAAACTCCCACTTATCTAGATAACACTGCTAAGTAGACATAAACCCAGATGACCCAATTTCTCAACATTCCTGAAAAGCTATGGAAAATTATATATGTCCTCACCTTTGTAGGAAGAAAAGCAGACCAAAAATTTAAGGTATGAGATATACTTAGCATCCTTTTTAGAAAGGACATTCACTAAAAATAAGTGCCTGACAAAGGGTTCTTAGTTATTGCTATACTTCATGTTTCATATCAAAGAAAAAAAGCCCTGAAACATAATGACTCACCTCAAAGAATTTCCAGTCTTTTTGTGTATTTGATATTTTCTCCCTGCAATATAACAAATCACAATTATAGGCTGTGACGGAAGTTCAATTTCGGTGATCCAGGCAAGGCCTTACCTTTAAAAAGCCCCTTTGCAGGATCATTACCTGTGACCCCAAGACTACTTAGCCACATAAATGCTATCAAAAGGCATTGATAATGAGTCCCAGTATCTTTTTCTCTAACTTCTTAGGTTACTCAGATCAAAATCCCTAGAGCATTTGGTCAAAAGTTAATAAATTAAAACTCAGGACAAACAAGCCTGCCAAGAAATGCAGTCTTCCAAATGCTTCTGGTGATGTGAGTGTTGGGGAGGTGGGGAGAGTGGAAACACGGTGAAGGGACAACATGAGGTGCTAGTAGGTATGAAAATAAAAGACTAGAGGGTAAGTCTAAAATGAAAAAGAAAAACATCTGAAACAATGGTTATGGCTAATGGGTGCAAAATGGAAACAAAATGGACAAAGGTCTATGCCATGCAATCAATTGACGGGGACAGTCTCCCTTCTGCATGAGGTATGTAGACTGAGCCTTGACTCCTAAAGGCAGACATTTGCTCAGGAATCCTTGTAACACAAATTCAGTGTAAGCATGCTGTACTGGCATGGGCACACTTAGTGAACTTGTCCTCCCCTCCCCAAAACAGGCCATTCTTTCTTTTTTTTTTAATTGGGGAATTGGGGGGATGGGAACAGTGCTGGGGAATTGGGGGAAGGGGAACAGACTAGTTGCTGTCGTTTTGTTCTTCAATCTAGTTGTGGAGGATGTTGCTTCACTGGCCCAAGTTGGCACCATCATTGCGCTCTTCCCGGGTGAGGCA